TTCTTGAGAGCTCAATTTTCCCCAGCTGCATGCCACTATAGAAAGTAATTAAACTTAATAGTAGATGCACTTAATTGACAGCCACAGAGGGAAATAACTACATTTAAAATAAAAGCCACAGCTTTTAAATGGAGAGAGATGCCATTTCTCCGTGTTCCCAACAAAAGTAGCCATTCACTAGGGGGACCACATTGAAGATTTTTTTTTTCTTTTTCTTTCTGTCCATTTGTACTTCTAAAGGAAAAGCAAGCCCTTCATAGAGAGCAGCACTGCACTCCTGACAAGTATACTAGGAGTAGTTTTTGCTTCCATCTTAAATAGCTTTGCAAGGCCGGCTGCCACGTCTTTTATTGTTTCCTTTTGAAGCTCCTCCTCAGCTTATGTTCCAGCACTCCCAGCTATCCCAAATTAAAGGACCAAGGGAGACATCATGTGTCTCTTAGAACCTAACGAGATAGTGATTGTCATTGTTTCTGGAACTCAGATAACGTACATCCTTAAATCAAGAGAGGGATGTGCTCATTAAATCATTTTCTATAGGACTCTGTTACTTGGCAAAGTTACGTGCAACTGAGAGGCCATTTTTGCTTAGAGGAAAATAAAAAATTAAATAAATTAATCTACCATTTTGGTTTTCTAAAATAAAATAATTGAAAATAATATATTTTCAAGAATATATCTGTTTCTACAGTTTAAGAAGTTACAATCCTTTGATAAAATTACTTTTTGCAGAATTTAACAAAAATAGCAGCTCTACTTATCATTCTGAGTTTAACAAAACACTGCATTTATCTCACAATTATGCAAAATCCTCCCACAGTGCAAATTCAAGGTGACTGTCAGCTTAGTTAATTTTAAGAGGTGCAAGTGTTGAAAACAATTTTTAATAGAAAATTTTTATTTAATAAATATAAATTCCAAAGTACAACTTTTGGATTATACAGGCTTTTTCCCCCCATAATCTCCCTCCCACCTGCAACCATCCCATCTTCCACTCCCTCTCATCCTATTCTCCATCGAGATTCATTTTCAATTATCTTAATATACAGAAGATCTACTTAGTATTTACTAAGTAAAAATTTGAACAGTTTGCACCCACACAGACACACAAAGTATAGAGTACAGTTAAAGTAGTAGTTTTACCATTAATTTACATTGTACAACATATTAAGGACAGAGATCCTACATGGGGAGTAAGTGCACAGTGACTCATGTTGATTTAGCAATTGACACTCTTATTTATGACATCAGTAATCACCCAAGGCTCTTGTCATGAGCTGCCAAGGCTATGGAAGCCTCTTGAGCTCACCAACTCCAATCAGATTCATTTTTGATTAGCTTCACCAACTCAAATCAGATTCATTTTTGATTAGCATTATATACAGAAGATCAACTGCATACTGAGTAAAGATATAACCTACTTGAACTTAGTTAACTTTATTTCGAAGATAATTAAAATTTCAAAGAACTGAAATTCATTATTTTCTAAAGCTTATTCTTTTTTTTTTATTTTTGTTTTTTTGACAGGCAGAGTGGACAGTGAGAGAGAGAGAGACAGAGAGAAAGGTCTTCCTTTTCTGTTGGTTCACCCTCCACTGGCCGCTGCGGCCAGCACGCTGCGGCCGGCACACCGCACTGATCCGAAGGCAGGAGCCAGGTACTTAGCCTGGTCTCCCATGGGGTGCAGGGCCCAAGCACTTGGGCCATCCTCCACTGCACTCCCGGGCCACAGCAGAGAGCTGGCCTGGAAGAGGGGCAACCGGGACAGAATCCGGCGCCCTGACCAGGACTAGAACCCCAGGGTGCCGGTGCCACAGGCGGAGGATTAGTCTATTGAGCCATGGCGCCGGCATTACAGCTTATTCTTTTCAATAAGAAATGCATTGTTTTTAAAAATCTATATTATATTTCTTTTAATGTTTTCTAAATTTTTCTATCTAAATTAATATAAAATTAAATTAGATGTTAAAATATCCTGGAAGCTGATAATTGTCATAAGTAACACTTCATATTTATGATTCCTTGATGGTTTTATAACCTAGGACAAGGTCTACAACAAAGATCCTGGTAAATATTAGTGATAATAATTATTAATCTGGGGCTGGCATTGTGACATCATGGGTTAAGCCACAACCTGTGACACCAGCATCCCACTGGGTGCAGTTTGAGTCCTGGCTGCTCTACTTCTGATCCAGCTCCCTGCTAATGTGCTTGGGAAAACAGCAGAAGATGTTCCAAGTGCTTGAACCCCTATCATCCACATGGGGGACCCACATGAAGCTCCTGACATCTAACTTCAGCCTGGCCCAGCCCCAGCCTTTTAGGGAGTGAAACAGCACATGTAAGCTCTCTCTCTCTCTCTCTGTAAACACTGTTTTTGAAATAAAATAAAATATATTTTAAAAATTATTATTAATTTGGCCTTTACCTAATGCAAATGTAATATTAAATATTGATTTAACCATTCATTTAAAAATTGTCAGAATTTTGCTTGTGAAAAGTAATTATTAGCTGAGGTAAGTACAGAAGTTAAACAGGCAAGAACCCGTCTATAAAAGGTGCCATCTCCTAGAAGAGAAAACATGATATGCAGTATATATATATAATTTTTGCTTATGCAACATTTAAAATCATATATCTATATATTTGAAAGACAGATATTAAAAAACTGAGAAATTAGGCCAGCGCCACGGCTCACTAGGCTAATCCTCCGCCTTGTGGCGCCGGCACACCGGGTTCTAGTCCCGGTCGGGGCGCCGGATTCTGTCCCAGTTGCCCCTCTTCCAGGCCAGCTCTCTGCTGTGGCCAGGGAAGTGCAGTGGAGGATGGCCCAAGTCCTTGGGCCCTGCTCCCCATGGGAGACCAGGCTAAGTACCTGGCTCCTGCCTTCGGATCAGCGCGGTGCGCCGGCCGCAGCGTGCTGGCAGCAGCGGCCATTGGAGGGTGAACCAACGGCAAAGGAAGACCTTTCTCTCTGTCTCTCTCTCACTGTCCACTTTGCCTGTCAAAAAAAAAAAAAAAAAAAAAAAAACTGAGAAATTAAGTCAATGAATATAATATTTGAAAGTTCAGAAGTGACAGTCCTTAATATGAAAGCACAACTAGAGGTATTAATATAAAAATTCATTTAGGGGATTCATCTTGGGTATTCTTAACCCATACACCACTGTAACTTCCTTATGCAGTGCAAAAGGTACATTCTCAGTCTATTTCTAATATTTGCAATGAGTAGTGATTATGCTTAAAACAACAAGAGAGCTTCATTTTACAAGTTGTTGTTATGTCTTAATGGACAGTTAATATACTCCTTTTGCTATCATATGATAGGTTTATTTACATTCATAGATAATTAAAAGGCTATTCAAGAAGAGGTAATAATACTTCTACTATTTTATTGCTATTATTGGTAAGAAATGTTTTTATCTTCCATCATAGTGTAAAAGCGTATTTACCCTTATAAGGAGTGAGAACACATGACTGTAGAATACCTGTTATGTGTGAATAAGAGTTCAGTGAAAAGACAGGATAATGTTTGTATTCAAACAATTGAGTATATAAACATTAAAGGGATGACTTTCTGCTGGACTGATAGGAATAAGTCTGATGAGGGCTAATAATTACTTTTATAACCCTATACAAGCACACTTTTCAAAGCAGAGAAATTCTTTTATGTGGTTATTGAAATCTGGTCATAAACATGGTAACCTATCACTTTAATTTTTAAAGTGAAGATATGTGTATAAGAATTTGCAGAGAGTTTTTTTATGAATATATACAAGCAATTTATTACTCACTAAAGGTGATCATTCTGAGAGTGAAATTACTCTGCTGACACATTTTTTATGAAATCACCCAGAATGCATTACAGACTCGAACAGATATCATTATCTGCAAAACTCATAAACTCAGAATAGTTTATAGCTCTCTAAAGTCAATTTATTATACAACAAAGAAAATATTCAGGTGTTTATTGTATGTATATATTAAAACGTTTTCCCTAGTATAAATGGAATCCTGTCTTTGGAAGAAGAGAAGGAATACACAAGTTAATTAGCCATAAAAGGAAAGCTAAATGGAATTTTTTAAAGTTCACAGATAATGTATTACTCATATTTTATCTGAAAATATTTTATTCCAAAATGTTATTGTGATAAAATGCAACTCCAAGGCACAATAGAGAAATTACAACATTTTGCCATTGGCCTGTTTTTAGAAAAGAAAATAGAAATGTTTTTGTTTATGAACAAAGTAAGCCATTGATAGCAGGTGTTAGTGTAATGATATTGAAATCACTGAGGTTCATTTGGAGAGCAACATATTTCATTTTCATTTGTCTATCAGAGGTCCCAATATGTTATTATATATTTTCCTGATCTCAATTTGCATTTCATTAATATGTGTTTTATATATATAACAACATATATATCCCTTTCTTTTCTGGGACATAATTCAGTTCTAATATATTATTAATAAACAATTCAGCCAGTTAGATGTACTTCATGATGACTTAATAAAAATAATGATAGTAGGAAATTTAAAATAGAGTCTATAAATTAATCTTTTGGCATATAATAATGGACAAGAATTCTATATACTATGTACTGTGGATCAATTTTTTAGAAAGCAGTCCAAAAAGATTAACATCGCTATTTTTTATATGCCATTACTATAATTTTAAAGCTGTCAAATGTTGTGTTTACTTTTATTATAGTTTATTCGGTTAAAAATGTTTATCATTAGCACTTGGCATCCAACATCTTCTACATTTTCTTTGGAAATAGAAATTCCATTGACTGGCTTCATTGTAAACAAAATAGTTACTAAGTACCAGACATTTTGCTGAGTTCTTCCTGCATTTTAAGTAATTTAACGCACTTGAAAAAGAAACATTTGCTCAAACCTGGTAGGATTGCATTAACATTATCTAGCATTGAATTTTTGATTTTGCCTTTGGCTCAGATTAATAAAAAATTTTAAAAAAATCAGTCAAAGCAATACATTTAAGATAAGCGAGTTTCAAACTTATGACCAGTATTCTCTGTGCAGCTGGACAAGAAGAGTCAGGTGGACACGAGGCAATGACTTGACAGCATCAGACACAGTAGGCCTATGAATTAAAGGAAGTATTTTAGTTAACAGAGCACTTACTGTACACATGGAACAGTGCTGTGTGGCCTCCTGTTGCTACAGAGATCCATAATCACATATAATCTCTTTGAGGAGTTTAGGGTAGGGTTGGAGAAAAGCCCATTAAAAATACTCACGCATATTTTTATGATGGATTATACACGATGTCTATTAGATTTGTGAGAATCTGTAAGTCAAAAAGCATTCTGAATGTGACTCTCGACGTTGTGGGTCTCTGGCAGAATGGTTGTGCTGGCTCCCTGTGCTTCCAGACGATGCCCCAGAATATAAAGCATAGGTGATCGCACAGCTCATGTTGTGAACGCCTTCTTTCAGGGATTGTAGCCCCTGCTGTCATGATTGTTTCACAGACGTCCAATACCTTCACATACTTACAGAGAATATTTTATTTCAGAGTAAATATTAGTTCTTTAAGGAAGGCCAGTGGGTCATGACCAACATCATGTGCTGTTCATCGGCCTTTAGCTTCCAGGTTAATTTTAGAGAAAACTTACCGAGGCTATGAAACCAAGAGTGCTGACACCAACTGTGGCACAGCAGGTAAAGCCACAACCTGCAGTGCTGGCACCCATATGGGTACTGGTTCAAGTCCCGGCTGCTCCACTTCCGATCCAGCTCTCTGCTATGGCCTGGGAAAGCAGTAGAAGATGGCCCCAGAGCTCGGCCCTGGCGCCCTCATGGGAGACCTGGAAGAAGCTCCTGGCTCCTGGCTTCAGATCCAGCAGTAGCCCCAGCTGTTGCAGCCACTTGGAGAGTGAACCAGTGGATGGAGGATCTCGCTTTTTCTCTCTCTCTTTCCCTCTCTCTTTCCCTCTGCCTCTGCCTCTCTCTAACTCTGCCTTTCAAATAAATAAATAAATCTTTTAAAAAATACTTTAATTTGGTAAATATTTAAATATCTATATTATTAACTCATTATAGCAAATGTCATAAATCTTTAATATAATTATATTCTTTTTATCTTTATTAAGATTTTAATTTTTCCATATAGATCATGTGTATGGCAGGTTCAATTAATTGTAGCTATTTTACAGTATATTGCTCTTTAAATTTTTTTTCAGTTTTATTTTCAGATTAGAAAGTGTTGGAGTAATGGGATGTTATTGCTTTTGCTAATTTTAGATTCATTTTAACAGTTTGTTTATTGATACTGCTAAATTTTATAGATATATAATCAAATCACCTATCAATAAATTTCATAATTTCCTTCCAATCTTTTCTTGCATGTTATTTTGCTTTTTTATTTTATTCTTCACAGTTTTTTTTTTAAAGAGTTGTTTATTCATTTGAAAGTCAGAGTTACTGAGAGAGATGGAGAGAGAGTGTGTGAGATCAATATCTTCCATCTTCTGGTTCACTCCCCGGGTAACCCCAATGACCAGGGCTGGGCCAGGACAAAGCCAGGAGCAAGGAGCTCCATTCAGGCTCCCATGTCAGTGGCAGGGACACAAACACAGGGCCATCTTCCACTGCTTTACGCAAGGCCATTGGCAGGCAGCTGGATCAGAACTGGAGTAGCCAGGAAGTGAACTGGCGCCCATCGCAGATGGCAGTTTTCCTGGCTATGCCACAGCACCAGGCCCTTGAACCTGTACCTCTAGTACTATGTTAAGCCTTAGTGGTATCATGGATGCCTTTCCTTTTTCCTGTGTGGAAAAAATTTTTCTTCATTAAAAATTTTTTTAAAGTTGTAATTTTTATTTCATTCTATTACCAGTTTGCTAATATAGGTTTTAAAAATGAATAAAATGAAATGTAAATCTGATAAAAAGATGTGTATGAGTCAATTGACATGATTTTTCTGATTTAGCAAGTTAATGAATGATTCTGATAGATTTTCTGATACTGGACCTTTCTTACTTTTGTGTGTCAGCCTTTTCTTTGATTGTGGCTACTAAAAAATCACTGACCCCTGCTATCTAAATACCTTTAAATTTTTTTCTATGAGCTTTCATATAGGAGCTATGGCCTATTTCAATTTACCAAAATGGTAAGCCTGAATTTTTCATTCCCTTGGAGTGAGTTCCTCCTCATTGTAAAAGATTTCTGAAAAGTTTAGTCTGCCAATTGTGAAACTATGCTCTGATATCAAACTCAGGACCTCACCGTTTTGTTGTATAAGTCTAGTAATGCATTCCTCCTTTAGAAAAAGCATAAAAAATCTACAAGGCCAAGGAAAGAAAAAGAATGTAGATACACAAAGAATTAGGGTAAGCACAATTTCTAAACTGGGATTATAAACTTGATACATTTTCTAAAATTGGATTTTAAGTTTGATTTTTAAAACTTCTTGGCTGTGAGAGTAAAAATCTAAATAAACATAACTTCCATTGCTCTCTGTATCTGGGAGAAGAAAACAGGAATTCCTTCTGAGAGAAAGTTCATTTCTTGGCAATCAATTCTAAACAAAATTCCTATGTAGGGAAATTTATAAGAAGCACTCTAACAAAGCTGTGGCTGATATTCTTAATAATGGTGATGTTAGCTAACATTTATCAAATACTTATTACATGTGTAGTTGTGTGCATGATACCGCAGTATTTAATGCAAACACTCACAACTAGATCCCCACTTGAAAAATGGAGAAGACAAACAGAGAGAATGTTCAGGACCTGGACATGTGCCTGAAACAGTATTAGACCAATTTTCTCTTTTGACTCAGGAACCCACTTTCCAAAACATGCTGCCACTTTGCTATATTGCTCTCCTGCTCATGCCAGCATGCTTATCAAAAATGCAGAACATGATCTGTTATAGTAATGAAGTGCAAAATATTACAGCATTGCAATCCATAAAATTTATTGTCCAAGGAATTCAACTTAATTTCCAAAGGTCTAGCCAACATTTCATTATAGATCAAGAAATCTTGGGGGACTGGTGCTGCGGTGTAGTGAGCTAAGCCTCTGCCTGTGGCACCGGCATCCCATATGGGCACCGGTTCTAGTCTTGGCAGCTCCTCTTCCGGAACATGCAAATTAAGACCACACAGATATCTCTCCACACCCACTGGAACAGCTTATTTGAAAAGACAGATAATACCAAGAGTAGGAAAGAATGTTGAGCAGTAGTTCTCTTCCACAGTGTTATACAAATTAGTAGAACAATCTTGGAAAATTATTTGGCAGCATCTGTTAAAGCTTACTTACCATACACAGCAATTTCTTCCTAGGTTTGTACCCAAAAGAATTGTGTGCATAAAATTGCAAAAGCCACTTGTACAATAACATTTGCAACATATTATTCCTCATAGTCAAAATTAGAAAAAAGTAAATACTCTACTATTTGGATTATACGCAGTCTTATATAATAGGACGCCCCCCAAAAAAACTAATAAAATGAACTGTTACACATGATAGAACACGTGTCTCACAGACCTGATGTTGAGAAAATAAGCCAGAAACAATAGGAGTGAGAACTGCTGCATCTCACTTATGAAGACAAAGCCAGACTCTGGTGATAAAATTCAGATGGAGGAAACTCACAGGGGCAATGACCGGAGATCACAAAGAGGATTTCTGGAGTGCTCATATTTTTTTTTTTTTTGAATGGAGATTTGAAAGATGCAATTATTTGTATAAATACTATGAGTTATATGTTTAAGATTTATAGATGTTGCTTTATAAATACTAATTATTCAATGAAGGAGGCCTTTTGTGCAGTTTGGGACATTTCGGCATCAAGAGATTTATGCCTAGCTTAGCTAGCTTTTGAAACAGATGTCGCAGGGCCGAAGCTGTGATGTAGTGGACTAAGCCTTTGCCTGCTGCACCAGCATCACATAAGGATGCCGGTTCATGTCCCTGCTGCTCCTCTTCCAATTCATCTCTGCTTCCAGCCTGGGAAAGCAGGTGGTCCAAGTACTCTGCCTCTCAAAATAAATAAATAAAATCTTTAAAAAAAAAAAAAAAAAAAAAAAACTTAGCATGATGTTTTCCTTCTATCTCTATAAAAGTCTTGTGATGAAATCAGTGTTTTGAATTGATGTCATTAATTATGTTTTGCTAATTCTCATCATTAGGTATACAAATTTATTCCTCGCAATTGCACCTGTTTAAATATATAATGAATGTTTTCTCCTAGGAATGTAGGTACAAAGTGGAACTGAAAACCTGCCAAGAAAACCTCCACAGGGTTTCTTGGAGCTCCTTTGTTGCTGTTGCTATTGCTAAAGAAAAATGGGGTTTTTTGGCTGGCGCTGCAGCTCACTTTACTAATCCTCTGCCTCCGGCACTGGTACCTGGGGTTCTAGTCCCAGTTGGGGCACCAGATTCTGTCCTGGTTGCTCCTCTTCCAGTCCAGGTCTCTGCTGTGGGCCAGGAAGGCAGTAGAGGATATCCCAAGTGCTTGGGCCCTGCACCCACATGGGAGACCAGGAGGAAGCACCGTGGCGGCCATTTGGGGAGTGAACCAACGGAAGGAAGACCTTTCTCTCTGTCTCTCTCTCTCACTGTCTAACTCTGCCTGTCAAAAAATAAAAAAATAAAAAAATTGAAAAATGGGGTTCCTGAAAAATTTAGTACATTCCTACCTGGAAAGGGAAAAATAAATGCTAAAATTAAATAAAGGATTACTTAATGATTGGTAAATGTACAAATATCCTGGGGCCAGTGTTGTGGCATAGCAGGTAAAGCTGTTGCCTGAACTGCCAGCATGCTATATGGAGGCCCTGGTTTGTGTCATGGCTGTTCCACTTCCAATCCAGCTCCTTGTTAATGGCATGGGAAAGCAGTGGAAGATGGCCCAAGTGCTTGGGCCCCTGCACCTGCATAAGAGACCTGGCAGAAGCACCTGGCTCCTGACTTCGGATTGGCGCATCTCTGGCCATGCGGCCATCTGGGGAGTGAATCTGCAGATGGAAGCTCTCTCTCTCTCTCTCTCTCTCTCTCTGTGTGTGTGTGTGTGTGTGTCTTACTCTCTGTAATTATTTCAAAATGGATTTTAAAAATCTTTTTTAAAATGTACAAATATTCTCTTTAAAAATCCCTGTACATGGTGTGAATGGAATGGGAGAGGGAGCGGGAGATGGGAGAGGTGTGGGTGGGAGGGAAGTTATGGGGGGGAAAAAGCCATTGTAATCCATAAATTGTACTTTGGAAATTATATTTACTAAATAAAAGTTTAAAAAAACACATAAAATATTTAGCAGTTTTATAAACACAGGCATAAGAATAAATGTGTAGCTCTTGAACTAAAATTCGTCAGTCCCAAAGGCTTAAAATAAATTATTTGTAAGCAAAAAAAGAAAAAAAATCCCTGTACAAGTTAGTGCATTTGTTATACTGTTTTTATTCATTTGTTCAATGGAATCAAATAGCCTGCAGGAGGTCCTTGCAAATATGAGATGAACCACGGATCAGGTTGGTTTGATTTTCTTCAGGATTATCTGAGCTACATACAATTTATCTATTAACTTCAAGTTAAATATTCAAATTAGAAATATGTCAAAACCATTTCTTTAATTCTTCAAAAACACCAACCCAATTAGAGAAACTCATGTGTTCTTCTCCTCTCAGGAAAAAAGGAAATCCCAGAGTCTACCTTTTCTACTGGAAAAATGAAGATAATAGTACTAACTGGCAGGATTTGGACGATGCTTTATAAAGATCCGAGTGAGTTCATTTTTGTCAGAAATGCCTTCTCCCGTGTCTGGAATGTCCCTAGGGATTCAATAATTAGTATCTATTACTATCATTATTATTATTTTCTCTTTCCAAATTATAAAAACTATTCCAAAAAGGGGAGATCATTTTGTATATGGTTTATTTAAGACAAACCTTTCTACTTATTTGCTAAAACGTGATCATTCAAAAATGTCTTGGAAGATTCCAACATAACTTGTCAGAACCCTCAGGACATTTCTTAGAAGAAAATCAAAGGGCGTTTCCTTGATTTCCTTGGGATTAGTTTTAATAAAACAGCTGTGCATCGCAGTTCATACTCTACAGTTCACAATGAAGCACGTGTTGTGTACTAAAGGATGCTGCTTCCCAGCACAGGAAACCCTTGTTTCTACGCAAAAGACATTATAATTTATTTATTTTCTTATTTAAAGTTAAGCCGCTGTGTATATTCCACTGCAGTCCTAACAGATGCGGGACGAATTTCTTGGCAATACTTATTTTCTTAGTTTTTGTGAAAAGATTATTTGTTTTCCAGTTCATGTGTGATGAGAGTCCATTTATCATGTAAAATGATCTGGTAGATTTTGTCACATCATGTCACTATTGCTGCTTATGGGATATATATATTAGTCCTTTTAAAAACTATGATATAGAGATCCTGTCATCACAGTTCATTTAATTCAGCATTTTAAAATGTGTCTGCTTTTTTCATCCTAATATGCATAAGATGAATCGTACACATGGGGAACCCCCATTTGCTCATCTCGGTATTCCGTACATGTGCTTGATGTGTTCTGCAAGACAAATTATTCCATTGTGGCTATGCTGCTGTTTGGGCGTAGCTGTGCTGCCAGGAAACCATACAAAACAAATCATGATAGTATCAGTCTCCAATGTTTTCCAGACATTTTGAGATGCAAAAATGGAAAGATATGGGAATGATAGTTCTGTGTTTCCTTTTGTAAGAATAAGAATTAAGTACGAATTTGTTACTTGACAATGCCTTTATATCTAATTGCCAAGGCAATATAAACAATTTCTTTAAGGAAGGTAGGTATTATTTCCATTTTCTTGATGAAAAAATTCCTTGCTGGCTATCACCCATTTGAAAACAGAGTTCAATTCATTTCTACTTGCTTAAAAATCCCTTGATCTTGCCTTAAAGGAAGTTATCTCTACAAAAAAAAAAAAAAAATTAGAGGGCAAAGATTCACAAACTTGTATGAAGAATAATATTTCCTGAGTAGGTGGATGCTACTAAGAGGTAGGAATTAAAGTTTATTGAGGCTATTATTTATAAAGTATTAGGAACTAGATGAAATAATTTATCTCCAGGGAGTAAAGACTATGGATAGCTAAAATAGCCTGCAATTCAAAGAGGAGAAAAGAGACTAATCAACTTAAAAAAAAAATCAGCATTGGTTCATCTGAAAAGCAATCATGTGAATAATAATCATCCGCTAGAGAATTTACTCCTCCCCAGCCGTGCAGTTCTCACTTGCCTAGGTTCTGGAAAAGGCCTGAATGAAGGGATACATAATTTGAGGTAATCATCTTGCGACATTTAACAAGCTTTCTCTATTAGGTGCTTCATGAAAATTCACTTTTGAAGCCATTTCTGAGTGACTTTTATTTCCTTTTGCATTTTACATTTACTAGAAAAAAGTACATGATTAAGTAGACACTGAATGATGATTTTCAACCATTAGCACCCAGGTTTATAAACTTTATTTAGGTATGGGTGCTTGGCCTAGCAGGTAAGATGCCAGTTACAATGCCTATGTCCCACATCTGAATGTGTGTTCTCAGTCCCCAGCTTGGACTCCTGACTCCAGGTTCCTGCTGATGCAACCCCTGATAGCTCCAGTAGTTGAGTTCCCATACCCATGTGCGGGACTTGGATTGAGCTCCTGGCTCTCAGCTCACCCAGCTCCCCTATCATGGTTGGCATTCAGGAGTAAACCAGCCCATAGGGTCTCTCGCTGTGTCTCTGTCTCTCTCAGTACCTCTTAAAGAAATTATTTTAAATGCCATTTTAACATCAAAATCTACAAGATCTAAAATTCTGCATGCAAAGCTTTCGTTTTTTTTGGATAACAGATTACCTTCATTCCACTAGGAAAGTGGATTTAAAGTCTGACATTTCTTCATGAATGAGATAAAGCACCATATCCCATAGGGCATTGAAACATTTTTTATCTTTGAATATCTCTGCATATTAGTATAGAATTCACACATCATTTATTGGAAATAACAAAAATAATTTGATTCACTCATATATAATATTATTAAAACTAAAAATATCAATTTTTGATAATCTATTTTTGAAAAGCAAAATTTCACATTTTAGACATAATGATTAGGTAATTAGAAAGAGAGCAGAGATATGTTTAACCCATTAAAACCTTTTATCTTGGGGTCGGCACTGTGGTGCAGCAGGTTAACACTCTGGTCTGAAGCACCAGTATCCCATATGGGCACCGGTTCAAGACCTGGCTGCTCCACTTCCGATCCAGTTCTCTGCTATGGCCTGGGAAAGCAGTAGAAGATGGCCCAAGTCCTTGGGCTCCTGCACCCGTTTGGGAGACCTGGAAGAAGTTTCTGGCTCCTGGCTTCAAATCGGCGCAGCTCCGGCCGCTGTGACTAATTGGAGAGTGAACCAGCAGATGGAAGACCTCTCTCTCTCTCTCTCTCTCTCTGTCCCTCCTCTCTCTGTGTAACCCTGACTTTCAAATAAATAAATAAATATTTATAAAAAAACTTTTATCTAGTTAGATATTTTATCTTAAAAATTATGAAGGTATCATATAATTTAATCATAGACAACAAATTTTTTTAAAGAAACTAACTGTACTTGAGTTTCATTAAACCAGTGAGAAACTTTCCCTGTAACTGTATAGACAAGAGAAAACAAAGGAGAGAGAGGGAGAGAGAGAAAGGGAGAGAGAGAAAAGAGAAGCGAAGTGAAGAAAAGATAGGAAGGAGAGAAAGAAATGAAACCAACTCAAGGTAGAAAGGAATAACATTTGGAATTGTAAACTAAAAGCCAAAAGGAAAAAAAAAACCACAGTAAAACAACTATGCACACAAACATAAAACAATGCATTAGCTAGGATAGTAAACATTGCTGGTTAATACCAATGGACTTTAAACTTTAAAAAAATATCCGTGTACTTCCCACTGGCTTTTTAACTTTGAATAATTGCCAAAAATATGAGTTATGGAATTTTTAAGATATTGAGATTTCAAAACTGTTAATTTAGTCTTTTATGTATATCTTGAATGTTTAAGTACATTCGTTTGATACTCCCATCATCCATTTAAAATCACGAATCAAACAGAAAGTCCATGTTCTGTTTGTGTTATATTCATACTTTACTTTCACTTCCCCTACAAACTGTATCTAAATATTATAATTTTTTTAAAAAATACTCAACTTTGAAATTTGGATAAATGTACAAAATTTGATATTTAGAGTGTCTTCAGATTAATGCATTGTGTTCTTTTTAAGCAAATATAGATGTAAAACAAAATCATATGTAGATTTACTTTGGTATTAGTACCAAATATATTGTGATTATATATAATAGCTATTACATTTTAAAGTTACAAAATTAAAAATAATGAATCTACATTGCTCTTTATGAGACAGCTGGTAACTGGATTCTAATAACTTGGACTGCCCTTTTGTTGGCTCTCTGAAGGTTTTTAGACCACATTAACAAAAGAGAACAAAACAAATGTATCTACATCCCTTTTGTAATGAATCTGAGTAACCCCATGGGCACCCAAATTTGAAAATCACCTATTTGAAATATCTTCTTTAGAGATAGAATCCATTTACAAAATTTAAAACAAAAACACAAACATAATCCTGTATCATAATAGCACTGTCCTAAAGCAAAGGTCAAAGAATGGTTTAGAAAGATTATGGATAAACATGCCTCAAGTAAAGGCAATTTTAATTCAATAATGAACCAGCATCCAATAACTTGTGCGGTTTCTGCCATAACAAAGATCCACAGGTGTAGACATCAGTGGTTAGAATGAGAGGGACACCACCCTCCATTACCCGTCACAACTCAGTAGTGAATGTTTGCTTATTTTTCCAGTGAACTATGCTCTACTGGTCTAGAGGTCTTAGTCCCACTGCGGAACACTCCCACTAGGAGACACAACAATGATTTCATTGAATTGAGATTTAAGATAACATCTGGGCACTTTCATCTCCTCATGCCCTGAATCAGCTGGAAAAATAGAGTTACTGTGCTACCCAGAGTGCTTGAGTCTAACTATCTTTGGAATTGGATAGCTACTCCACAATAAACTTCATTCCATGACTACCTCAAGTTCTGAGAGAGAAATTAGTGCATTTTCAGTGGTACCCATTAAAAGTGTATCATACTAGGCAGAATTATGTCTTTGTTATTGTCTTTATTTGTAGATTGTGTGTGCCAAGGTGACAAAGGGTAGACTTGTGATGATTAATGTCGTGTGTCCTCTTGACAAGAATATGGATGCCCAGATTAAACAACATTTCTGAGAATGTCTAGGTAGGTGATTCCAGGTAGATTAGCATTTGAATTGGTGCACTGAATAGAGAAAATAATCCAACTTAATGTGGGTGGGCATATATGAATATATAATATCCTCTTGATATCTCTGGAGAATTCTGACTCATCTAGGTACCGATCCCACATATTCTTAACTAACCTTAACTGCCAGGGTTGACAAGTCCAGGCCAGAGTCTGGGGATAAACCAGCCCTACAGTCTGGAGCACAGCATATCTGAGATATGAGAGGGATCCGCTGTGAAATTAGGGAACGGAGCAAGTGTCTGCCTCCCTTGTAAAGGGTTGACTGATTATCAGATGGTAAAGAAAGCTAAAGCTCTGTAACTAGGTCAATGTGACATCACTCCACACAGAGACGTGGAAATTCCTGTCACATTGCTAAAGCACCACTTCAGTAACAATCACATCAATTAG